CAGTCACCAACCTCATAAGGTAACTGTGATCTGGGAAAGAGTGTTAGGTCCCAGAAGTCAAAATTATGCCTTAGGAAAATTCCTATGACTCCGACTGGAAAGAAAAAGAATAAATACTTATGAATTAACTCAACTCCTTAATTACACGTTTAGGTAAGGGAAGAGAGAAAGAAAAAGTATAAATGAAAACACAGTTAACATGGTTTTATTTGATATTTGCTAAGTATCCAGAAGAATTTCATGAGTGAGAAGATGGAATGAGTTCAAGAAAAATAACCTGCTGGAGGATTTAAGAGCAGCTTGCCTCTAAACCTCCTGAACTAACATATATTCTTGTCTCAGGTTATTTCAGTGGAAAGCTGAGAAGAGATTTGTGTCATGATAAGGGTTGTATTAATCCAGAGAAACATTTGTTCACATGTTATTTTTTCTGCTCTGTTGGAAAATTAACAAAACTTTATTACAAGTTGACACCAACTGTTTCCCATTTTAAAACAAAAGCAGGGTTATGCTGCAGATGAATGCTGCAGATGAACACTGCAGATGAATCAGTATTTCTGTGCAGCTTATTACTGAGAGGGTAAATATATATCAATGAAATATAAAAATACCCTGCAAACCATTTAAGTGTTAAAACCCATCAGTATCCACTGCTAAACCAACTGGGCTCAATCAGGTGACCTCAGTAATTACACCATGTAAACTGGTGACAAATTTGGCATAGGAACTATGAAATAAACCTCCTGTTCCCATCTTAGTTTCTTGAGCATTCTTTCATGTGGAGACATGGAGGGAATACAAAGGAAATGTCTACCCTTCTACAAGCCCCAAGCTGAGCAGGGAGCCCACCAGCTCCTGCTCCCTTTTACAGGAGAGTGAATCTGGCTGATGTGATGGCACTGTCTGTGCTTTGGATGAGTGCAGATCAACAGCTGGGGCAGGGCAGCGGCTGAAATCTGGTCTATACCAAATATGACATGGGCAGGTATGATATAAATCGCTTACAAGTTCATAAAATTAACAGCGCTTCCCAAGTTCCAAAGTTGAGGAGGAAGAAGAAAACATGAAATCCTCAAGGCCAGGTACTAAGCAAGCAAAAAATTAAGAGCACGTACTGAAGGAACATCTGGAGGTTATTTAGTTCAACCTCCTCCTCAAAGCAGCAACATTATTAGGTTTGGATGTATCCTGGAGTGGACTTTCCACAGCCTCTTTAGGCTCCAGTTCTTAATTATATTTATGGTAACACTTTTTTCCATGCACCTCTTTAGAATTTCCCTTACTGCAACTTGTCTCTTACTGATAGCCCTTTTGCACCTTCAAGACATACCTGGGTCTGTCTTCTCTCTAATTAGCCATCGGTTAATCAAAGGAAACAATTAGCTTCTTCCTTTGCCTTCTCTTCCCCTGGCTAAACAAACCTCTGCCCCTTCTCAGTACCTCCACCCCATCTCTGGGGTCCTCCCCTGGACTTGCTCCAGCGCACCAAAGTCCCGCTGCTCATGGAGATCCCAACCCGGATACAGCATTCCAGGTGCAGCCCACAGGCACCAGGGAGAGGCGAGCGCTCACTTCCCACGACCTGTTAGCAGTGCTCCTGCTAGTGCAGCTCAGCAGGAGCTCCTCTCCTTGGCATGGGCTCACTGCTCACCCGTGTCAATGACTGCTGGAACACAGCTCAGGAATGAGCACATCCCATGCACATCTCACTTCTGAGATGTTCTCAAGGAGGTGGGTGAGTGCTTGGAAACTGTCCACCCATAAAGGGGATTATGCAAAAAAAACAAGGGGACAGTGATCTACAATGTGACGTACAATCCAAGTGATGCAACACGTCAATGGTGCTAGAAAATTTAAATACATTTAAAACTTACAGTGAATGTATTTATATTTATATTTTACAAATATTTAGTATTTTCTCTTCAACCCTCCCCCCCACCATTTTTTAGGTTTATCTATTTTCAGATACACATTGGGCATAAAAAATTAAGAATTTGAAACATTTGGTTAAAAAATTAATATGCTATGTACCTTAATTTTCCTTTCTTTTAACGAGAAAATAAGCTGAAGCAAGTATTATCCTGAGTACCACAGCCTTGGAGATTTTGGAACTAGCAGATCTCAGGATTACACCCCATTTTAATACAGGAAAAAATATTTTTTTTCTTTTTCAGCTTCCTTGTGTTCTCATTTTCAAATAAACTACGTATTGACTAGAGTAAATTTAAATTAAGAGCAAGCTTTTAATGGTGCATTAATTCCCCACATGCTTATTCTTAGTTTCAGACATTTAGCAGCATCTTCCCACAGACCAGTAATTTCACTGTTTTAGAATGTGTCAGCAATCACTCATTCTGTGAAAGTAATTTTAATTTAACTGATGTTAACTGCAACTGATTAGAGTAAACGTAGGAAGTATTATAAACAACCATAATTTAAATGAAGATTTTATTTCTATATATGCACCTATGTAATTGAAATCAACTATACAAATCTCAAAAGACAAAACAAAGTTAATTCATGCACAGCAATATTTTCTCTTTTCTAAGAGGTGCAAAATGACTACAGCAAATCTGCTGCAGGAACCTCACATTAAACTATGATGGCTCAGAAATGCACATTGGAACATGTTTGGACTAAGGAACATTTATTTGACCTCCTAACTTTTTTCATTTGAAGAACTTCTCTACATGGAAAAAATCCTGCAGGTAGTTATTTCACGTTGCAATGCCTCACTGAAGTTCCTATTAGTCCAGTGTTGGTCTTTAAATTCACACTTTACCTATTCTATGCTGGCTTTCCTGTGAGCACCACAGGTAGTCTGTCCTTGAGAGAGAAACTGGCCTTGTTTCCCAGGGTTGCATGAGGGCAAATGGAGTGGGAGGAATGGGTCTGTGCCCCACGGGCTGAATGAGCCCAGAGGATGCTCCCCCCCTCACAATGCTCTGCCCAACAGAAATTTTCCATGGGCATGTTTAACTTCAGCACCCCTGCAGGAAGCCTTTAGGGTGTTGGAATTATCAGGGACAGCCTTGGTCTATTTTTTGAAGAAAATAATGTGTACACACCAATGGCTGTGTCTGAAAATCTGTCTCAAAGAGGTCAGTTCAGCCCTGTCCTTCATCCATCTGTGAGGGATGGCTGCTGGGCTCTGTGCAGCCAACATATCTTCATATTGAAAAGACCTCAATAAGAGTTTGTAGGTGGGAGACCCACCATCAAACATGATTGCTCTTGTAGCGTCCTTGCTGCCCTTCTTCCTTCACCCTTGGATCAAAGTGGATTCACCAATATGGGATGGGCCTACTGCCCTGGGCTGGGAGCAGGCCCGTGAGCAGGGTTTCCTGCTGACTCAGGTGTGGTGTCTGCTCAGGACACTTAACCTTTTCTAGTCATATGCGGAAAAGTAGTTATTCCAAACCTGGATTTTGGCATAAGAGGTAATAAATATAAGGAATAATTGCAAAGAAAATATTTTGTTGCTTTAAAATGAAACAGCATCTAACAGTCTAAATTACTTCATTGATCTCCTTTAGTTTTTACAAAGCATTTAGATTTTCAGATTTAATCTCTGTTTACAATGGCAGTGCTTGAACTCCTGAAAACTTTGCCCTTGGGTGAGACCGCGATATTGTGTATATCCCTTCCAAAGTGGCTGCATTTAAGGAGCATGTGTGAGGTAAGAGCCGTGACAGAGGACCCGACCAAGGATGTGACAGCCGAAACATTAATCCAGTCCAATCTGTGATTAACCGAGAATTACTGTAACCCTACACTCGGCAGGAGGCGAAGGGGCAAGGTAGGGACGGAGCATTTCTCCAGGCGAGCTCTCGGCATGGCCGTGCAGAGCGCGGCCTGCCCGGGGCCCGGCGCCATGGGTGGCACGGAGCGGGGCCCGGCACAGAGAGGGCTTTGTGCCCTCGCTGCAGAGAGCGGCCGAGATCCCAGCGCCAGCCCCACGGCTGCCTGCAGTGCTCTGAGCAAACATCTGAGGGCAAAGCACGAGCGCCTGCCTGGGAGAAATCACCTCACACTTCTCCGGGGAGGTGTGTGCGGACGGGGATGGACGGCAAGGACGGCAAGGCAGGCACAAGCCACTGCCTGGGGCCCCCAGCATGTGCCCCAGCGTGGTTGGAGGTGGTGTCAATGAGAAGGGTATAGCTCACACATCTCTCCAGTAAATCAATCCTATGTAATCATACATTAAGGAACTGCATTAATTCAGGATAGATTGACGAGAATTTGGAGCTCGAATCACTTTTCTTAATTTAGCTCTCTTCCTGTGCATGCACTGCAGAGATGCAGGTGTAAGCATAGTAGTCAGGGGTGCAGTAATTTCTGGTTTTATGAGCAGGCAATTAGACCTTTGTATCAGACTCAGGTGTTTTACTGAAATCACTAAGGCTGCAAGAAGAAAAAGTAATGCTTGAGTATGGGTATCGCTGCCTGAATCCTTACAGTGACCTGAAGTAAGGAGTGTTTCTGGGCAAAGGGACCCCTCTGTTTAAAGTGTTTCAAAATATTAAAGGATGACGATTACTAAGTCTGCTGTTCAATTGTTCATCCCAGCAAATGAATTCATGGGTAACCTTAGGTCTAACCAGCTTGCTTTGGTAATTCTGAACGAACCCAGTGAGTACAAGCTTTCACAACTCAAAACTATTCTCTCCCTTATTAACAATTACCACTGCACTTTCTTGCATATTTATCAATGCACATGATCAAATTAAAAGTAGTCATTTCATGTTATGTTTGAGCATGGGAGTTTTATGATAAGATCTGTACTAAGACAGCAAATGAAGGGCCAGGTCTTCAACACCTTGAATTTGACCACTGCTTAGAGAAATTTGTCTGGTTTTCTTTTGCTCTGAAGATATTAACAACAGTGATCTTTTAGTTACCTTCCAAAAGGCACATTCTTCAAATGTGGCTTTTGAATCATAGTGAAAAATGTGTATTTCCCTGTGCCACCTAGAAAACTGCAGTTACTTGTGGCTTACCTGTCCTGGTTGTTCACAGGCTGTCTGATATCTTGCTTGTTGACATAATTCTTTTACTCTCTCATACTTTGGTAGTTGATTAGACTGCTGAGTGTTTTTGTTGGGCTCCTCCTTCTTGCGTAGAAATTTGCTTATTAAAAAAATAAAGTGGATGTTTTAGATACATTGTTCTAAGCCCTAAGGATGAATGCAACTTGAACAGTGAAGCTATTTGAAGGTTTAATGCCTTCTCAGGGAAAAAAATCCCCACATTTCTGTTACTGACTTTCGATGTAGGTCACATACTGAAAAAAAAGCCTCAGGTGACTGGCTGAAAATTGCCAGAAGATAAAAAAGTGCTGCTAAAATATGTTTAACTGGTACAGTTCAGCTCCATTCATACATAAATGTAGGTTTTTACAAAAAGCAAAACTCTTTGAAGCAATACTTTCTTGGCTGGAAAACACAGCTGAAGACACAACAGGACTTTTATACTCAGAACAAGCTCGGCTGTATCTTACATATTATGATGTGTCTTTCATGCACTGTTTTGTAATACATCAGACAAGGTTTTCATAATCTGTAAAGTCATAAAGTACCAAAAAGAAATTGCTGTAAAATTTTTACCCAGAGAAAATTTTCACAGCAACAACTGGCAAGGTAAGAGGGTATAAGGAGTTATCAGCAAAGAGAGGAGCAATTATAGTAACGAATCTCAATTACATGTAAGTCTTAGCTAGAACAAAAATGAAGAATGCTTCTAACACATTATGGAAAACACAAAATCAGGCAATAAGAGGATTCTTCACAGCTGGATTTGAAACTGAGATTTGGGAAGAAAGTGATTTGGATAATGACAAAAGTGGGCACAAGCACAGTGTTAGGAAAAGAGGCTAGGAGAATCACCAGAAAAGCATGCTTTCAAATTTTTTCAGAGAAAGGGATTTGAGAGCACAGTAGATTGCAAAGGCAGTGGTGGGAAACTAGGAAAAAAGTCATGCCTGTCAGTTTGTTTGCAAAATTTACTGCTTCTCTGACCATAAAAAGGAAGAGGAGGAAGCAGAAAGGAAAGCATGTAAAAGGGAGTGTTCCCAGCAGGCAGGCTCTCCCAAAGCTCTCTCACCCCTAATAATTACCCTCTTTCCACTAGAAATGTGTCACGCCAAATTTTGGTCTTCTTGTTTGTTCGAAACCTGAAAGTAAAATAATGACATTTATTGCTGGCACTGAAGTACACCACTGTAAGTGTTAACAAATTATTTTTGAAAAAAAAAAACAACTCTCCACTTATATATACTTGCAATTTTATAGATCTACTACTTAAGAGACTCTTGAAATGGAAAAGCTGTGGTCGTTGCCATGACACAACTCATTTTCACAGAATCTGTTTTTCCACTCAACTGTTGATTTACTAAGGTGTTTGCTCCTGAACTGGCTTAAAAAGGATCATGGGACCCACCTGTTTCCTGGTCTCTCCAAGTCCAGAAGTTTTAGGACAGATTTGCCATCCATATCTGGAGGTGTGTCAAGGCCTGCTATATCCAGAATTGTTGGAGCAAGATCAATATTCAGAACTATCTGAGGCACACTGCAAATCAACAGGAAAGGTCATAGTTGCCATGTGTTCAATGCGTAAGTCTTCACATTCTCTCGGAAATAGAATGATAATTAATGCTTATCAGGGCTTTGAAGATGTAAAGCTCTACAGAAGTGCTAAGTTTAGAAAACCTGCTTTGAAGTCTACAACTCAGAACGATAGGCCAGTACTGCAGACTGACATCACAAAGAAAAAGTTAAGCACAATTAAACAAGGAAGTGCAGCAGCAACACTGTTCTTATCTCATTGACAGTGAGGGCATGATGCTAAATGACAGAGTGAACAGTAAAGATGAGCACAGCAAAACCCTACAGGGTTTTTAAAAGCAAAACCCTACAGGACTATGCATTACAGTTTTCTCATCTGCGTTATAACTTATTCATTATATGCAAAGTGAAAAACTGCCTGTTTATGAGACTCATTGCTCTGCAATAATAGGGCATCCTTTATGAAATGAAACTAGACAGAGTGATAATTACATAGTCTCAGAAACATTTTACATTAGGCTCAACAGCTGTGCTAGAGACATAAGGGAACGTACACTGATCCCGGCTCCACACTTGGACCGCGAATAAAGAAAGGAACTCGAATATCAAAGTCATACGGCATTGACTTCCCCTTGACCAGTCCGAACTGCCCAATATGGTATCCATGGTCAGCAGTGTAAATAATGTAGGTGTTCTCCAGTTCTCCCATCTCTGCAAGCATTTGGTGTAACTGCAACCCAGAACAGAAAGAACTCCGAGTTAAGTGTAGAAAAGCATGTTTTGTGTAGAATTGTGTATAACCATAATTTATAACACTTAAATACACAGGACCAAACAGGGCACCAATGACATAGCTGACACAGATTCTGGGGACTGGCATTTGTACATCTTGCCTTTACTGTGCTGTGAAAAAATCAACGTACCAGTTCAATTTCACACTTGACAGAGGGGACAATTAAGCAGCTCCAGAAAATTAGAACAGAAAAAATATGGTAATGATGGGGTAGTTGCCTTAATGTGTCCAAAATTCATTGTGTACTCAAACACAGCTTGTGAAAAAAGTCTGCTACGGCTGTAGGGGAAAAGGTACTAAGATTTGATTTACTGTGCTAGTCTACAATTTTCCCATTCCTTACAGTTGTGGGCTTGGGAAAAAGCTGTAAATTTTTATTAAAGTTTAAAGAAATCTCTCTAGGGGAAGATCTTTGGTCATGGTGCTTGATTTTGGAACAAAAAGTCATACAAAGTAAACCTAATAGTTCATGTATCATGTTACCTATAATTAGCAGTGCACTGCATTGCCTAACTTCTGCAAACACTTGTAGACTGACACCTGAGTTGCTGTGATTTGCCAGTTCCCAGATTTCAACTGAAGGACAAACTGTGAATGGAGTATGTGAAATTAATAGAAGTTGTCACGTGTGCACCTGTGTCTATCCATGTGTACACACAGGTGATGCATCTTCTGTTAATGCCGGGCTTTATACTAGGCCCAGTGACATTTCCCTTTAAAAAAGCACCCTATTTTTTTGACCCAGCAATTGAAAGAAGAAAGCCAGGAGCTTGGCCTCATGTTGCAGAGAACCAGAATTCAATTCCACTGGGAAAAGGTGAAGTAATTCCTCATAATACAGTGACTTTCCCCAGAATGTGGTTGGTGAAGGTAAAGAAATAATTAATTAATTAAATTTTGTTACCAGCTAACAAGATTGTATTCACAGCAGTTTCTTGCACTCACTCTTTCCATAGAGTCATCAACTGACATCAGGGTCTGAAGTCTTTTGCGCTGCAAGACATTGGTAAACTCCATGTGGATTGGCAGCATGGGCCCCGTGTACTGCATAATCCAGTGCTTATCCATGTTTGGTGCATAGTTATAGCTGGGAGTGCTGGAGGAAAAGAACGGATCTCAAAAGTTGTGCAGCATGACAGACATCAGAGGGAGGTGGGAACTTCTCCAACACAGAAATAGCCAACAAACAGTTAAATCACAAATTCCATGTGGTATCTGACAAATACCAACAAACATCACTTCAGCGGCTTTCCAGATTCATTGGGTCATGTATCACCTCCTCAAAATATTTTAACCACTTGCTTTCCAATCTGTCTTTCAGACTCAAAGACCACTACAAGTTCCATGTTAATATTTGGGATTTGCCAAAATCTATTTCGCAAACAAACCTGCAATCATTAAAAAGGCTCATCTGAATGGTGCATCCCATACAGATAAGAAAAATTAAGGGAGTTAGAGGTGAAAAAGGACTGCTTACTTAAGGTATATTGCCCTGGTACTTCCAGTAGAGAAATTACCTTTAAATAAAAGTCAAAGAAAGCTATTTTCCAGTGGGATAAAGAAATTTAGTAGTCAGTATAAAGAATACCACCAGTGTTACAGTTAGTTCTACACTATATACTACTGAAGTGTTATTTTCAATGTCAGTGCAAAGCACAGTGCATTACAAGCATAAAATGAACCATGACAACAAAACTGAGCTAACACCGCTATTGGTACTAATACTAAGAAGAAGTATGGCACAGAATCCTATCTAAAACAAAGAATGATGCTTTAGGAGTTTGCACAAACACCAAAAGAAATATTTAAGAGTGGTATTCTATCCACAGCCAGTGTATTTTTGAAAGATATCCTATAAGAAACAAGAATATTTTCCCAGAGATATCACCTTGGGAGAAAATGTGTGGCAAAAAATGTGTCAAGTAAATTTTCTCTACAGAGAAACATGTAACAAAAGCTCTCCATCCTTCTTGTTTTTATGCCTAGCATACATGACAACTACAAGGTGAAGAGAAACCAAGCAATATCCATTTCCCATAATAGTTGCACCTACGTATGAGCAGTTCCCTTCTCTAGAAAGAAGGAATCTAGGCTTTGTCATTTTCATTAAGTTCTTCAGGTTTTATTTCTCCCCTGTTTCTAGTACGCTGCAGCACATGGTACATGAACGGCAGCATTACATTTGAAAATTAAACATAAATAGAAGGTGAAAAAATACTGTTGGGTGATTAATTTGATTCTTTCTATTCTCTTTTCAGTTTACAAGAAAAATTAAATTCAATATTAATTTGCTGCTTAGCTACTGAAAATTATAACATGTATATTAACAAAAGGTACATTTTTCCTGCTGAAATATGTATGTGTAGTTGTCTTTTCTTAAAATGAACAGTATCAGAATACTGTATAACTTAGAGTCATACTTTTGACCAGTCCTTCAATTAGGTTTCATTTTTCTTTACATGGTTGTATGTGATCCCAGAATGGTGGAAACAGTTGATTTTTATATCAGATATCATATGTATAACCTTTAACTACATACTCTGAGGACAAAAATCAGCTGAAAGGATAGCATAGTAAACTGACAGTCAACTTCAATAAATTTGTGGAATCCACATTCTAACTGGAAAGCATTATTTGAGAAGTTAGAAGAATTTGAGAAGCATGCCTTTAATACACAGAGCAAGTTTTGACTAACCTACTTAATCATTAGTCTCAAGGGAAAAGAGAAGTGATGCAACAGTATCACGGGACTTTGATAGAGATTAAGAAGTATGAAAAGGTTAGCTCCCTACTGAGCAAAGACAAGCATAAACTAGAATTCCTTTTCTGTTGAAAAATCTTTTCTTTCATGTTGAAAAGTCAAAGTTTTTGTAATTTCCCATGGTTGAAGTTGATTATTAAAATGAATACTGTCATAATATTAACAAGATTTATGTCAGGAGCACAGCCCTCTGTGCTGCTGGCTAGCCAGCAGTCCTAGCAGAGGGAGATCCTTGAAGAAGCAAGCCTTAGGAATTCTGTCACCTACCATTTATCAGTAATCAGACAGAAAAGAAGGATACTTTCAGTGCAAATTTTTCTCTGTTTCCTTGGAAATTTGTCAGACAAGATGTTTTCCCATGAAAGAGTTCATTTTTGATTAATCAGCATCTCCTAGTAAAACCCTGGTTTTTTTCAGTGGGGTCCTGAGTGCCCCAGCACAGAGGGATGAGGTGGCTGTGAGCTGCGCTCCGCCGGCAGCGCGGTGACAGCCTGCTGCTGTGCCAGGAAGGAGAGCCAGCTGCTGAAGCAGGCTCAGGTCTTATGTTCCCAGGCTATTGTGAGCAGCCTCCTCCACATAATGGATAGTTTTTAAAAGCAGCACTCAAAGGTTTAGCAGGGCAGTTAAAACCTTTCACAGACACTATCCAAATGCATTTTGAATTTTCTGGGTGAGAAATGCAGCAGGCAGAGAGGGAGTAGAATTTTCCTCACAGGCAATTCAAGGAACAGGAACATTCTGTGAAATATCCAGTGTCACTGGCTGATGGATAAATGTGAAATGGGTCCATAATGTTGGAGAAATAGTACTAACGAAGAGACAGAAAGGAATTCCAAAGCCCTGCAGCTTGTACATGTTCCCTGTGTACCCCTGTTTGTTGGGCCTTTCAGAAATCCACCAGAACAGCACTGGTTACCAGACACAAGATCTAATATTGCTCTCAAATATATCTACCTTTTTTTTTTTTTTTTTTTTTGGGTATAAATGTAACCAACCAACCAAACACTGCATACGTAAATCTTAGGGAGAATACTGCTGACTTCTGAAAACCTTTCCATGCAGTCAGATCTCTTCCTGATCAGTGATAATTTTTTACCATAACATTTTTTCTTGAAGCAGCCGGAGATATCAGTTAAATGTTCAGCTCTTATAAGTCCTTGAAAGTAATTATGGCATGGTGTGTCACCATTTCTATTCTTCCAGTTTTGAGAACAGCTTTGCTCTATATTGACACACACTGCTATAAAGTATCACAGACATCTACATTTCCTTGATTTCTCTTTGCACTAGAAGATTGAAGTTGAAGATGTGTGCCATGTCTTCCATGGCCTCCTCTCAGTCATGGAGTCCGTCTTGTGCTGAGTACATTAGCTGATCCATGATCAGCAGACAGTGCCAGGTAGCCCATTGTTTCCAGGTTATCCATGGCTTCTGAGTCTGGCAAGTTGCTACTGTAGTACTTGTCATTCTTGTAGAATATACTAACTTGGGCAAATCTAGATTGCTCTGTTGCTCACTTTTATTTGTCCAGCACATACTGTGAAAAACTTAATACATAGAGACCACTTGGCACTCCCTAACAGATCGGTTCTGGCACTGGAAGGCATTAGATTCTTAAAATTTTGAATTGATATCCTCAGTTAAACTAACAAAAAAATTCCAACTGCTATGTAACAATAACAAATGCTGAGCATAGGCACTTTCCTATAAAGGCATATTGATAATGAGAATATTTCACCCTGAGATTTTGTAATCAGTCACCTATGTGAATAAGTTTAAAGAGAAATCTACGGTGATAATCAAATAATCTATAGACTATGGAAGGAATAAATATTTGGAAGCGCTAGTGCATTTTTAAAGAAAGATTCTCCACAAAATCTATAATTTGTCTGTAAACATCAGTTCAAGTGGATACTTATGCTGAGAGAAAAGGAGTAGTATTAGCAGTCACTGCTGTAATTAAAAGGTCTCAGTAACTCTTTCTGACAACATATTTACTATATTCATATATTTAAATTTGAACTTCTAAATTAAGAATGCATCTTATTTGGCTTTTAAGATACCACAATAACTTTAAGTTAGGCAAGAAACAATAAAAATACCCATCAACCCAAAAAATGGATACTTGAGGATGTATTAAAATGGGGTCCCCACAGAAATAATTCAGAAACAAATTTCAGTAGCTTCTACTAGTAACTGAATGGAATTGTCATATTCAATGAAATAAATGGAATAATGCCATTTTTCAAATCATTATTACAAAAAGATATTTTACAGGTAAGAAAGGATTGGGAGAGTACAGAATGTTTTAAGAGCTTCAAGAATTTAGAACAACTTTAACATTTGCTTTCTAAAAAATTAATCTAAATATACACGTCTCTAACAGATGGGATAATTGGAGAGAAACAAGTATGTTTCCAAACATTTGTTCAATTGCTCATAGTAAAAATCTGTGTTTGCCCCTATTTACAACCTTGTATTTCTTTCCTGTTTCTATTCAATGAAAGAAATTATGTTCACAAATATACTGCTTAAAAATGTTGGGTTGGAATAACTCCATAAAGTTCTCAGGGGGTTCGGTCCCAAAAGTGTTTGGCTAATCTTCTGTCTGGATTGTGAGTCCTCCAGTTAGTGAAAATAATACAGTACTTAGACACCCCAAAAACATATTCATTTCATAAAAATAAAAGTCAGCAACATTTTAAAGTAATATCTTTGCTAAAACTGATTGAGAAAAATGAATACTTTCTGTACAGAATTAGCACCTCTATTATTCTTTGAAATATGATTAGCAAACATGGCATAAGTGGTCATGTTTCTTCAAGTGAAATAAACAAAGGAAGCAAATTCTTTGTTTCCAGGGAAAGTAGACTTCCAGGCTTAGACACTGTTCTTGGAAAGCAGGAAGCCTAGGTTCTGGGCAAAATTAAGAGTGAAAAAAAACAAAAAAAACCCCACAACCAGGGGCCATGGTCATTATTAATGTGAAGTTGAATTTCACCACTCTGGGTCTGCTTCTTCTGCCTTTTGAAATGGGACTCTTTTAAACCCAGTGATAGTTATAGATCTGGGTACGTGGGGTATGAAAGTTTCACTCCCCAAGCGTAACACAACTGCTATATTTTAGAATAAAGAAGTGAAACAGTTGTTGCCTGTTAAGTATAACACCTTTTTCATTCAGGAAACATAATTTGTTGCTCCTGTAGAAGTGGATTGTGCAACTAGAATATTACTTACATTTCTATTTCACAGCATTTCTTCTTGTCTTTAAAATCACACTGCCAATGACGCGTGTGATGATTGTGATCACTTATTTCTAAGTCAGGAGTCCAAGCAGGCCTCGGGCCAATAGTGACACTGCACACTGACATGACAAGATTTATTACTGATGCAAATGCATGATCCCACTCTAATGGCCCCATGTCCATATTACAAGAAGTGCCATTGTTACTGACAGATGTTTGAGACTCGGCCTCAGTGATTCCAGGTGCAGCCACCTCACACCCCAAACTCACACTCAAGACTGCTCTGGGGATCCAGAGCTACAACATTTCTTTTGATGCTTCACCACTGCAGACCTACACACCTGTTATATCAGCACCCTTCATATGATCTTTAAATGGAAATATAAACTTCTGCCTTTCATATTGCCTACCTTTTCTTAGCTTGTTTCCTCATCTATTCCAAGATAGATCAGATTCCATTTCTATCTGCTCCTCCTAATGTTTCTAGCTTGGCAATAGGATTGCTTCCAGGTAGTCATAAAATCTGGCTGTGAGTCCTCATGCCAGCCCAAGTATTTTAACTCAGCACAGCCAGCAGTGGTTCAGATTTCCATTTTTTACATTCTTCAGTAAACCTGCCTCCTGCAGATTTTTGCTTCTAATGTTTGTTTACTTCACAGCTTATAAACAGCCTAGGTCTGATTCACAGTTCCCCTAAGACTGGTTCACACTGGAAGGTAAAGGGAAGTTAAAGTGCCAGAGGCCCTGAGCATAACAGATAATTCAGGCTTTCATCAGAGCATCCTTTGAGTCAAAGCTTTCCAGCTCAGCTGTCTGATGAAACAAGATTGTCCTGTAACATAACTTCGTATTTAACAACAACATTTCCAAAAGTTTAACAACCCTGCTCCCTAACAGACTATGTTCATTACCACAGCAAAAATCTATGTATTGCTTTCATCTAGTACATCTTCTCTAGTCCCATTTTCTTTCACAGAAATAATGTCTGGGGATAGTTAGAGTGCATGCATTAGTATGATTTATTTTCAGAAAATATTTCACTCATAGCAGCCAGGATAAACCTTCAGAAATATTTTTAGATGTCAGAAATAGTATATACATTATGGAGAGGACAAGTGGGAGAGTGGGAGGGGAGAATGGAAGCTTAGAAACAATAGTCTGCTGCTTCCCATATGATATAGTTTGTGTTTGATTTTAAACTGGAATTAAAGAATTCAAAGGAATCACTTAATAAGTAAAGAGTGTGCACATCATTACTGTTTTTGTCTTTGTAAGACTTTCCATGCCACTCCAGAGCTTGTTTGTGCTGAGGAGGAAAGGACTAGAACATAATGGTGGCATGTAATTCTTAATTTTCTTTTTGTTTTTGATGTATTGTTCATAAATCTTAAGGACTTTGCTGCTGCATTCATTTTATTTAATTTTGCCATGTTGATAAGAGCGGAAATGAGACCAATAGACGCCCACACTTGAGGGCAGAGCTCTCCCTGAACTGGAGTATTTCCTGCCATAGCCACTCCCTTCTTTATATGTGCCAGTGGAAAACTTCTAAACAAACTTTTGGGCTGTTTTTTTTTATGTTGGTTTTGTTTTGTTTTGTTTTGTTTTGATTTATAGAGGCAGCATTTCAATGTTTAGCAGGCACTTTATCAGCAAAGAGACATCATGTAATTTAAGGGTCTGCTTCAGCTACTGTTCTCTTAAGCAAAACTTCTTACATGTGGTTGACAGGCTATCTTAATCCTTGGTTTGTAGGTATAACCTTCCATCTCAGTTTGTTGAGCCAGCAAGCAGCTTTTGACCTGGTTTCCCTTCTTTGTTGGAGGTAAGCGTTACAGTAACATGATACAGCAACTACATTTTTAAAAACAAAATCCAAGGTCAGATGGCTGTCACCCAAGGTCAAAAGGAAAGAGATTCAAATGGTGCTTGACCACCAAGGAAGAAAACCTAAGGGTTAAATGTTCAAATTACACAAACCTTGGCAGGAGGGATTTTATTGTTCTTGTTCTGTTTTCATAGGGAACATAGAATATTTCTGTGAGAACTGAACTTCTCATATCTTTCAGAGCATGTTGCTTATATTTTTGATAGAGAAATCAGTTGGATTCTTCAGCCACCCAAACCCAAATTAGCAGTTTATCTTCAATTTGTCTCATTTCACAGTCTGCAGACTGAACTTTAACACATGCAGTCAGTCAGTGCAATAAGAAACATAAAACAAGCCAGCAAGGATCTCTTGAGGTCATTGGAGAAAAAACTCTGCAAGAAGCTTGCCAAGAAATCAACAACACTAGAAAAAAAGAAGAAGCACAGCTGAGTGCTCTCAAAAGTAGCCTAGCAGAGCAAGGTATTTAGACCCCAGGAGTCCACAAAAACAAAAATTAATTTTAGCTAGAATTTTGCTTAATCTTTGCAGGTAACGTGTAACCTGTATATAACATGGAGAGGAGTTAAAAATTTGGAGACTAACTAAAGCCTTTTGCTCTACTAGCACAAGCTAGAAAACAAGCAGGCTGAAAACACCAAGCAGCAGAAAGTCATCAAGAGCATGATAAACCAAAGCAAGTTCCTACAAGCACTTGTCAGAAGAGAGCAAGGAGCTTAAAATGAGTTGGCCTGGGGAGAGGTAGGGTGAGATGCAATGATTCAGTGCTTTTCTCCCAGACACCGTCCCCACAGCTAAACAGAAGCAGTTTGGATCCTGCCTCCCGTATGATGGATAGTCCCCCAGCAGGAAGGATGGCTTGCCTGAGGCCAGGCAGTCTGTGCCACTAAGTGAGAGACAATCTGTTGAATGGAGTGAGAACAAATAGATATAATTCTCTTGCAGTGAAAAGCGGCAATTGAAAGGAGACATGGGAGAAATCCTTTCAATTTGATATAGTGACTATTCATTACTCTTCACAGAATGGGAAGTAGGGGACACAGGTGGCATAATGAAGCTCCAGGTTTAGAAGGAAATAAAAAGTAGCCCTTTGTCCCCAGTGCACAAAGTGACACTGTAGAACTTGTTGCCACAGGATGGTGGGCCTGCCACCAGAGTTTAAAAAGAGATTAAACCAATGCAAAGAGAATGGGGCACACTGATTTGGATGCTTCACCTAAACTTGTGATTTTCAGAAGCTAGAAAAACAGGGTGAAAAATTGATGGTTTTACTTTCCCCCTCTCTCCACCATTGCTCCCTGCTACTTTCTGCTGAAGCACATAATTCAGGACTGAGGACATTCTTCCATACAACCCAATATAACAGGATTCATGTATTCGTGTCTATCTTATCTACCAACTAAAATCTCAACTTCATTAGTTCCCTATATGAGTAGAAGCTACTAAGTAATTACAAAATCTTGCTGACCCTTGCTGACTGGTTTGCATTACTTGCAAAGTCTGGTCTCAGGAATGTGGGATCATGGAGAATATAAGATTATAAAGTCAGGGAAACTGGCATATCTAGAAAGTAGCAGCCAGTAAGAGGATAAAAGATGCAAAACAACAACAATGTAACCATGTGCCATGAGCAGCAAATATTTTTCTGGCCTTAACCAGTGATCAGTTTGGGCATGCAGTAACTACTACTCCTAGAAATTTTGAAGTATTTGATGTAAGTCGAAAAACCATCCGCATATGTGAACTACTGCAGAGTGTCCAAAATACAATTTTTGGACCAAGGAGCTTTCCCACTGTCTAATGAAATTAATTTATCCTCATTTTGAGAGGACAGATAAATGTACAATCCAGCTGAAATATTTTATAAAGATGTTTTTTGTGATTTTCTTTTTGCTGTTGGGTTGTTTTTTAAAGATGTGCAAATACATTGTTTCAGCACAAATGGAAAGACTGGTCTACAAACCCATGGGAGTCACAAGTGCAATGGAAATCTTCCATAGCCTCTCACTATAATGAAAAGAACCTAGAATATTCAAAGTAGGAAGCAGGATGAGGAATTCACAGATGTGGAATCACCACAGATTTTTACCTGAAGTTGCTTTTTCTTCTAGAAACAAAATGAAGAGTTGCAGTTTTTTGTTATAGTTTGATCACCAGAAAAGATTAAGCGTGTTATTTAAAAGTGCAGTCTGATAGGCTATTTTGGGAATCTGCCAGTATCTAGTGTATAAACAAATCTGGTGCACTCTAAAGCTTCAAAAGGGTGTTTTTACTCAATGCATTCAGTTAGTTAGAGCCCAGGAAGCACATATCTTAGAGGGAAACGAAGGAAGTAATATCTTTCCAACAGATCCTGACCTGTGTCTACATATTTTCAGGGTATTGTAAGAGGCTGCCCTTACAAAGCCAAATACTGACCTTTTAATCTCCCACAACTTCCCAGGAGGAAAAGAGTTTCTCTCTGCTTTAATAATGGTCAGAGCTGTCACTCTCCCCCGCAAAAGGAACAAGCACAGCAAAAGAAACAAGCAAACATTCTCTGCTTACATGAGTGTCTTATATTTGAATTGCCTGTTCCTGAGCTGTCTCCATAAACAAATTCCTCGCAGAAGCAGATACAAGGAGCGGGTCTGGCAGTGTGTGAGTTTCACTTACATGTGCTGTGAAGCATTGGGGTAGAGCTCTGAGAACTGCGGTGCAGAATCCTCCGGGCCATGGGGTGCAGCATGGCTGATGACCATCATTATGGGCCTATGGGGATATATCCTCTTAGACATTCTGAAGTAATTAATGCTCTCATTAGTGATTAGGTCTGTGAAGTAGTCCTGGAACATATGATTAACACAAAGCAAAAGTTACAAAGTGCATGATTAATTAGATCACATACTATCATGTTATTATGTTATTTTCCAAGTCCTCATTAAAGCTCAGATCAGGAAGTAAAAGCATACCATCAAAGAGATGTATGATTTGAGGGAGCATAGGGGAGACTGAGCAGTAATTACTTTCTTAAGCAGGCAATGCCACATAAAATGAGACAGTATTTTGCAAATCAGATACAACAGAAAGTATTAAGTAAATTTGATTACCAGATTTGGTAATATAAGCTAAGTAACATTTAAAATGGCAGACTGTACTGACAAAGATATGTTTCTTAAATTTCATTGATAAAACACCTTCACAAGGTAATGGCTCCCAAATAACATTGAATCCTAATCTGGTTTTCTGTTTACATAAACCTTTATTGCACACTCTTTGTTCAGACTATACTTTTGCATATGTACAAAGTGGAAGACAGCTACAACAGGCAACAGATTGCAAAAAATCTTAATCAAAGAAATTGCAAATGAGAATGCAGGGAGCAGTTGAATTCCTGCGGGCTCTGTTCATTTAATTGTGCAACTTTAAGCAGTGCAGCTGCTGAGATTAAGGTTGTGACTCGCTAATAAACTGGCTTAACCCACAGCTAAGGTGGCAAATGGAAGTCTACAAGGAAAAGGGAGGAAATAGAACTAAGAAAAAAAGATGAAAACTTAAATTAAACCACCTGCCACCTTGGAGTATTCACTGTTGGCCTGGAGGTCTAGCTCGAGCTTCATTGAGAAAGTGCTGAGACAATGTTTGTAATTTCAAGCACTTCCAGGCATGACTAATCTTATGTTGTGGATTCGAGGCCCTGAACAGCTGCAAAAGCAGAGCCTGAGGGACAAGGTCTGTGTCGCATGTCAGTGCTAGGACAAGCCAACCAGCTGTGACCTCCTCGCTCACCCGCTCCCTGTCCCCTGCCCCTTCCCCTCTCCTGCAGCACGCCTGGACATGCACAGTAGCCCTGGCTGCTACAAACCTTGCAAGCATATGGATGAGACAGTGAGTGATCCTTTACTTTCCAAAATGGATAATGAGTGTGAGGTACCAGGGCTGTGATAATTTCTGGATTTGTGGCCTGAGTGAAATGCCTGTATGACTGCTCTTCCAAAGCATCTACTCCCCTCCTGTTTCCCTGTTTATTCTAGCTACATACACAGGGTGTGTAAGGAATGTATAACTAACCAGTATTATACATTTCCTTTTTTTTTTTTTTTACTCTGTATAAATATATAATCAGTATAATGTAATTTCTATGGATGGGAAAATCAGAAACAGGCGTCACTAGCTTCCAATAAAAACTCATTACATGGGTCAGAAACCACAGCTGCAACATCTGTATCATCTTCCTGGAGCTGCAATTTGAGGAAATTCCAGATTGCTTTCTGCAGGCTGGTCTGTCTGAAATCTGCCCTCCTAAGCCTTTCCAAGAAACTTCATGGCAATGGGCAGGTCCCCTTGGCATACTTTCCACACTTTGTCAGGAGCACAAGCAAGCTCTGAACTTTTCCAAAGGCCGTGTTCTTGCCCTTATCTACCCTCATACTCATATCCGGAGTCTGACACCACAGGCACACAGCCTTTCTTTGGTGTGCACTCTACAATGGAAAACAACATTAACCAAGGCTCTTCTGTGGGTAATAACTGACAACACTCAGCAAACTTTAAAGTTCAGTAGTGCAAGGGACACAATTCTTTTGGGGAAAGGCTTTTATTTACTGTTTGCTTCTGCCAAAACATCACATTCTGTCAGGGAGAGGGAGGGAGGGAAGAAGGGAGGAAGGAGGGAGGCATCACCAGGCTCCACTGAAGAGCCTTAGGAACATTCTTCTGTTGAGTGATTAATATTCTCAGGTGGAAATTGATCTGAAATGCCCTGGAGAGAAAATGACATCTCAATTTCATGGCTGTAGTTGTTTAATTAATTAATTACCTGGTTAATTAATTTTCTGAAAGTTATTTTTATATGGATTAATCATGTGGCATTTATGTGTCTGGAAAATACCTTTGCATAATCAAATCCGTGCTTCTCTTTGTTACCATTGCGAGAAATGGTGTAATTATAGAAGCGAGAGTTCTTCACTAATCCAACCCACTCTCTCCACCCAGGAGGGATGTAGCTGCCATTGTATTCATTGAGGTATTTCCCAAAAAAAGCTGTGAAGTAAAAAAAAAAAAAAAAAAAGAACACACACACACGCATGAGGCTTTGCAATCCAAGTCTTTTAGTCTGAGTCAAAAGAACGTATGAATGAAGAGAAAATGTGTTAGAATGAGTCAGAGTTGCTTTACCAAAAATCTTCCTTTTATAGCTTAGAGGTTTTTGAAATTAAAATAAGTTATTTCCAGACTTTTATGAGAATTGAAAGCTTTCGTGACTCTATGTTTTATTCTTAATCTTTTGGAATCTAGTGTTCATGTGAAATATTTTCAGGGTTTCTTTTAGAAAGAATATGTTCCTCTTGGTTTCCACTTGAATATGAAATAAAAGCTCAGTGCCCAGAGGAAACATCTGAGAAACACCTTGTGGTTTTCAGCAAGTCCTGTGATGTTTCAGAGCTTGGCTTCTGACTTTTTGAAAGTTCAGGCTTGCTATCCTGGCTACATTTGCTGCTTTGATAAAAGGTCTGGGAAGCACAGATCTCTATCCCATTAGGACACATTCGGGTAGAGCAAGAAGGGATCCCCACCCTGCTTTGCTGCCGCATCATCTCTAAGGCAAAACTTACAAAGAGGCGAAGGCTTGGAGGTCAAAATCCTCTACCTGGCCTGCCAAACTCCATGTAAGTTTTCCTATTAGCTTGAGGTTACAAGTCGGAACTCACTCAGACTGAAAATTTCAGCCTTTGCCATAGGTTTATAGGTGCTCCTGCCAATTCATCTGCAAGGAAGTGGGAAGGAAAGCAGTTTCACAATGCAGCGGGCTCCCAGCTATCCAGGAGCTGTGGATTGCCTGTGGCAAAGATACACAGACACCAAAAGCCAGCCAGCTATCCTTGGAAGGGAGCATGCTTAATGCTGGCATGGGACCCTGGCAAATGCAGCCACTTTCCTTCTAGGGAGAGAGGGGTATGGGAGGCCTTTAGCTGCTTGTGTATGATCTGTGACCTGGACACAACAGTCAGCTCAGATGGGTCCATTCTGCTTTTCCACTACATGGGAACTGCCGTGACAAAACACCTGATCAGGTCTGCCATGTGGGGTTTTTGGGATTTATTATCTCCTGCTCAGTCCCAGCAACCTGCTGAGGTGCCTCAGTATCTTCACTGCTCCCTGCTCCCCCTTTTAATTTTCTTGAGGTTTACAAGCCCCTGGAGGGTCACCCATGCCAGCAGTTCTGCTGCCTGTCTGCACACAGGTACTCCTTGTGCTCACAAAGTCAGACACCATGGAGGAGGAGGGAATGACAGAGACCTCTCCCTTTCCAGGGACAGAGTTCTTCACAGCTGTGCCTGCACCCCTCACAGTGTCCAGCCATTTCATTGGTGCCAGCCCCAACTCAGCAGTCAGGCCTGTCTGCAGAGAGCTGCTACCCAGAGATGCTGTCCTTCAGCTGGGAACTGGGACATACCTTGAATCACTATGCTTGTTTCCTACTAGGAAATGAAGTCACATTGGAAAGCCTCACATCCAACCTAGACACATTCAATCTAACCAAAAAAAGCACATTTGTGGAAGGGCTCAAATAATTCAGATCTGATTGATATGGGCATGGTGAACTTCTTGGGAAAACTGGTGGAAAAATCAAAATGTTCATAATTAAGACTTGTCTGAGGCAACATAAATATGATGCAATTCAATCAGACAACTGCCAAATGAAACTGGAGATTACAGTCATATATAATGTTACTTTCCTACACCACGTGGAATGTGACATATAAACAAGTCCTACAGACACTAGACCAGGCTTCCAGCTCTTCTTCCTACAGCCACCAAGAAAGCAATCCAACCTGTCTCCTTTTTTATCCTGAGGCCTACCAGAAATCAAGAACTGTGAGGTGAAGAGAGTGACAGTGGGCAGGGAATACATGCCCAGCACTGTTGTCTCCTGGAATGGAAACCATACCTCTCATCTAAGGCAGCCAAACTGGTTTAAACTATCAGTCAGATATCATGGGAAAGTATATGGATGAAGGTTGAAATTCTGTGAGAAGGGAAGCCAAGGAAAGAGGAAGAGGGGAAGAGAAGTCAGAGAGAAACGACAGTGAAGAAAATATGGGAGAGTGATGTAATTGAGAGAGAGGAATCATCGTTGAGCCGAGCAAAACCAAGGGCAGTCTGTGGTTACAGGGGAAATCTGAGGTCAGCCCTTCCGAGTGCCATCCCAGTTCTACCAGCAGCTGCTGTACAATTCTGGGGAACCTCTGTGTGCTGTGCTCATCAGTAAAGGGCTCTACTGCCAACCTGTCTCTCACAAATATCAGAGGCTTTCAAATTGTGCAATGGAAGCTATGACAATTTATCATATAGGATGGTTTGACTGCCTTGTGTATTATAAGATTGACTCACTTGGAGACCTGGACTCTGCTATTTACAGTCTTGCCAAACTTTAATCATTAGTGGTGATAGTTTCCATGCTATCTGACTCAGGCTGTATTTTGCTCTATGGAACCTTTTAGCCAAACAGTTCAGTAATTTCCAAGAAAAAGACTGGGGAAAAAGAAATGGGTTCACCCATATAAAAATAATTGTCAAACTTTTCTATATTAAGTTCTGATGTGTATAGGTTTTGATGTAGGGCCTTTGTAAATAACAGAGGTGGCTATGAAAATCTGTCTCAAAGTGACCAAGCTCAGAAAAAACTGTAGCACACAGATAATTATTCCACCTTCTCACTTTAGCATCACAATGGAGTGTTCCTTTATGGATTTGAGAATATTCCCAGAATTTAATTTTTGGCATTAAAAAAAGCCATCAGCTTCCCTCACTCCTGACTCTCTTTTTTGGTTTTCATTACCTGAGAAAGCCACCAGCATAAAATGAAAAGATGAAATGACATGGGGCATAAGGACGAGAATAGATAAACTGAATTTGGAAAAGAAAGGATGGCTTGGAGCTGAGGAGGGCCAATTCGTCTTGGAGTTTCCTTGCTTTAGATTACTTAATTTTCTAACTTTAATAATGTTTTGTCGCATACCTTTTGGTCCACTGAACCCCATATTTCAGTTCATGTTATGAGACCTCGGATTGACAGCCTGAACCATTCACCTTTGTGTTGGCAGTGATTTAGTATTTTATCATAAAAATAATCTCAGTGCTGTCAAATTTTAAGCAGCTCCCTGAGTGACAGTTTGCAGAAATAGATGTTTCCCCCTGTTGCTGTGTAAAGCAATTCCCATGTCAAATGTGTAGCAAAGACCTGAATACTAGAAGAAACAGTGGCTGTGACAATGGATCATATTTGCCAAAATGCTTTAACCAAAGATGGTTTATTGGTTATAAACTCAAGAGGATATGAGTAATTAGACAGATGAAGGGAAAAACCAGGCTTTTACTGAAATACAAGCGTTCAGTCCTTGCACCGTGTGCTTTTGAGTACTACTGAGAATAGGACAGGGCGAGTGAGTCAGAATGGGGCCCAGCAGCAGCAGTTAGTGTCTGGTTCTTCAGGCTCTGAATGAAGACAAGTGCCAGAGTAAAAGGAAAGCACAGGAGTGTCCATGGGACCAAATAACAATCAGCAAGTAATCACCATGGGTGTCCTAGTTGTTTTTTGTTTAACTGGAGGATTGTTAAAGAGTAAAGCACTATGGAATATGTCAAAGAACTGATCAGGAACCAACACTGTGATGTGCAGATGTCTTTGCTGGGTCTTCACATGCTTGGCTTGTAGAATCAACACCCATCTTTAACTTAGCTGCGGCCCAACACTTGCTGAATTGCCCAAGTCTGGGAACTAACTGGGAAGCCTCAGCTTCAGAAGCTGTTTGGATTCAGCACTTTGGGTTTAGGAAGCCATTTCTGCTTGTAATTAGTAAAATGGAAATTATGACTCAGTGGGTAAAAGCCTCATTAAAAAGCAGTGCCATTTCAAGGGACATCTTTTCATTATTATGTGTAACGGCCCCCATAGGGATAGCAGCAAAGATAAATGCTTACTTTTGCATTTTAATAAGACAATTTTTATCTGCATTCTGGCAGTTTTGCTAACTGTTCCCAGGACACATTGTTATTTTCTAATCACATGTAGTGTAGCTTTGTATATCAGAATAATTGTATTCTGTATTAGTATGTTCAATTATGTTTATGCAAACAACAACACATGGCATGGTGAACAGTTTTACAGACATCTATGCGTCTCTGGAGGGGCTGCAGAATATACACGTCTGGTACCTGACAGGAACAGATGCCTTAAGACAGGGTTTTGTTTTCCTTTTTACAATTAGCTAATGATTTCTGTACTGGGCTGAGAGATCTAGGGGGTTGCAAAGGGTGCAAGACAAATATAATTTGATCCAGGGGCTCTCTAATACTTACAGCTGAGTGTGATTCAAATTCTCGTAATTCCCAGGACTGCTCTTCCCAGCACATTTTACAAGCAATTATGACTAAGGTTTACAGTATTACACAATAAATTTAGTCCTCTAACTCCTGTCAGCATTAGTGGATTAGTGCACAGGTGAACTGGGCTACATCTACTAGTGAGACATCTCTGCACTTCCATGGATCAAAGGACATATATTATGTTCTACACCCTTGTTATTTGTTGAGGCTTATGGGAATGTTTCTGAGTTAAAACAAACGCAAACCTTTAAAAAGCCACATTGCAGGAAGGTTTAGTCACCGTGACCCAGACAAGAGCTTTAAGTAGACAGCCCGCTTCCTTTAACAAAGTCAGGAAACCATTTACAGGAGTTGCAGAGCACTGTTTATATGACATTTCAGGACGCAAATGCAGTGATTCTATGGTTCTGTGGACAGAACCCAACATAACTTCCGCTTCCAAATCATTCCAGTAAATTCCTCCTTGCTTTCTTCCCATTATGCAAGCCATAGATTCAAACTTGAGAAATTTGATTTTTCCCTTCTGTTAAAAAATTGCAGAAGATTAGTGTATCACGTCACTGGAGCGTAGAAAGCCAGCTCAGTATGCCAGCACCACCTAGGAAATGAAATAAGCATTGTCCCAAAAAATGTGGTGAGGAAACTGGGGCACC